AAAGACGAAATCACACACACAAAAAAACAAATTTTAAAAAATGTATTATATTTGCGGAGGAAGCATGGAAATTACATCATGTTCATTAGTAGAGGTGATAAACATTACCATTGAAATCTACCCAATGACTTTATAGACATACACAGGCACCAAGGATCCAAGTGCAACCAATTATGACTAGTAATAATCAGATAAATAAAGATTAGAGATGCATGTGCAAACATCTAAGTGTTAGTAGCATTCAAAATGAGTTTTTCTGTATGAAACAGTATATTTTAAAATGAAATGGAGAGCTTTTTTAAAGGCTAAAACCCCATTCAGTTTTATGCCTTATAGGGTTTATACTGAGTTCAACATTGTATAACTGTAATAATTCAACTGCAAACCTAAAAACGTACAGCCAATTTTGTAAGAGGTGCAGCCTAGCTCAGAAAATTGTTATTGAATATGTCAATGCTGATGTAATGAAATGCTTCTTCTAAGTATGTGGTTATTAAAAAAAAAGATATACAATATACCACAATAAAAAGTATATTCATGCTGGGCATGGTGGTGCACACCTTTACTCTCAGCACTGGGAAGTCAGAGGCAGGCAGATCTCTGTGAGATTGAGGCTAGCCTGGTCTACAGTGAGTTCCAGGCTAGCTGGGGCTACAGTAAGACCCTATCTCAAAAACCAAACAACCAACCAAACAAAAAAAAAGTGTATATTCACAAAGTTATGTGACCATCACTGCTATCTTATTATAGAACATTTTTCTCATCTCTAAAGCCCTGAACCCATCTTCAGCTACTTCTGGTCCAGCCCCTCAGAACCGTGAATCTACTTTCTGGCTCTCTGGTAGGCATTTAGTATAAAAAGTATCACATGGTGTGAGGACTTTGTGTCTGGTGTCTTCATTTTATAATATCTTCAAGGTCCATTCATGTCACAGCCTAAACCAAGCTGAATAGTCCGTTGACTGATAATCCTGATGGATTGTTTATACTCTTTGGCTGTTAAGACTATGTTTTGGAGCCTGGTATGGTGACACATGCTTTTAATCCTAGCACTGGGGAGACAGAGGCAGGTGAGTTTTTGAGAGATTAAGGCCAACCTGGTCTATATAGCAAGTTCCAGGCAACCCAGGGCTACATAGTGAGACACTGTCTCAAACAAACTTTTGTACCAGCGAGATGGTAGAGTTCAGTCCCTGGAAACCACATAAAGGTGGAAAGAGAGAACTGACTCCACAAAGTTGTCCTCTGGCCTCCACACCTGTACCATAGCAAGCACACCCACACACATCACACATCAAAATATCACATGTAAAACACATTATATACATACCACATATGCATCCTTCCATATCACATACATATCACACACATCACATACACACTACACATATATCCCACACCCATCACATGAACCATACATCTCTTGCACACCTCACACATATCACATATCACACTTGCCACACACATCACACGCTAATAACATATCTTAAACCGTGACATCACTGTGAATTCTTGCTTTGGTCACGCGTTTCCACTTCTCTTGGGTAGTCACCAAGCAATGAAATTCTGG